TACATTGCGACGGTTAGAACTGCCGCAAAGACAACATTGCGACGGTTTGGGAACCGTCGCAGAATTGTCCGTCACCAGGCAATTTTGCGACGGTTATCAGAACCGTTGCACAAACCGTCGCAAACTTGGAATTGCGACCCTTTCATCAACTGTCGCACCAACTGCCTCTATATTAACATTGCGACCCTTTCATGAACTGTCGCACCAATTGCCTCTAAATTAATATTACGACTATTTTTTTACCTGTCGAAAATTATTATTTTTATTATATTATATATGTGTTGGGGTAGTAAGGGTGTCACACCTCTAAGCTTGACAGGCCAAATTGGTCCAGGTCAGACTAGCTTAGAAACTTATAGGTGACCCATAAAAATAATAAGTGAATTAATCTAAATTACTATCATTGTCAATTTGTAAATCTGTAATGTGTTATAAAATAATAAAATAAAATATAATAATAGACTTGAAAAAGAGAATGATTTTATTATTTTCATTCATACATATTACATTCTCATTATACCTATTTGTGACAATCTAATATTCCAAAATAAGGAAATAAGGAATTAAAATATGTTGAAAAATAAATAAAAGATTCTACAAATATTTTCTCTAATTACAACACTCCCCCTCTGAAGTTGGTAAATGGATATCAACCATTCCCAACTTGCCTAGAAGATCTTGAAATCTACCTTGAGGGGGCCCTTTTGTAAAAATATTTACTATCTGGAGTTCTATAGGAACATGAGTTGTAACCACAAAAAAGCCTCTGTATAGATTATCTTTGATGAAGTGTCTGTCAATCTCAATGTGTTTGGTCTGGACTTGTTGTACTAGATTGTGGGCAATGCTCATGGCAGATTTATTGTCATAGTATAGTTGCCCAGGGGTTGTCCACCTTGACTTTAAGGTCATCCAAAATGATTTTCATCCAAAGTCCTTCACACATTCCTTGAGCAAGGACTTGAAATTTAGCTTCTACACTAGAATGAGATACTCTATCTTGCTTTTTGCTCCTCCACGTTACCAGACTATTTCCAAGAAACATACAATACCCAAAAGTAGATTTTTTGTAAGTGATAGAACCTACATAGTCAACATCATTATATATTTTCATAGTCAACGTGTCTTCCCTTTTGAAC